TATATATTGTATGATAGGTAGTTGGACATATTAATGTGTAAAAGAGTTAAAAGTTGAAAATCTCACGTAAATAAGTGAAATAGTCAAAATAATATATATAAATAATTTTTTTAAGTTATTGGGCTTATTAAACTATTTGTTATCAAATTATTATTAGACCATTCTTAAATAACATGTTGATCAATGATATAGTCAAAATAATTTATATAATAGAAAAAAAAATTATTTTATAATTTAATTGTGTTAAATTTATCAAATCACTCGCTATTAAGTTATTATCAGACCGTTCAAACATAGTCATGCTAATTTCTTGAAATGCCTAGAGTCTTAACTCTTGGTTGTAAGGGAGTGTCATAAGTTTTATATTGATTAATGAAAAAACATATGTAATCGTGCTAATTTCTTGAAATGCCTAGTAAAATTTCTAGTCTTAGCTCTCGGTGTAAGGGAGTGTGTCATAAATTTTATATTGATTAATGAAAATGACTAATTAATATATATTAATATCTTATTTATTTAAGATTGGTGTTGATGGTTTGTTAAGAAGATGTGTTTCAGGTGCAGAGGTTAAGGATATCTTGTGGTACTGCCACAATTCACCTTATGGAGGTCACTATAATGGAGATTGTACAGCAGCAAAGATTCTTCAGTCCGGATTTTACTGGCCTACTATCTTTAAGGATTCTCATGAACACTGCAAAAATTGTGATAAGTGTCAAAGAACTGGAGGAATTTCCAAAAGACATGAGCTGCCTTTGCAAAACATTCTTGAAGTTGAAGTCTTTGACTGCTGGGGAATTGATTTTGTAAGACCACTTCCATCTTCTTATTCTAATGAGTACATTCTGGTTGCTGTGGACTATGTCTCTAAATGGGTGGAAGCAATGGCAACTCAGAAGGCTGATGCACGAACAGTGATCAAGTTCTTAAAGAAGAATGTTTTTACCAGATTTGGAACGCCGAGAGTGCTCATTAGTGATGGTGGTTCTCATTTCTGCAATACACAGCTGAAAAAGGTGTTAGAGCATTATGGTGTGAGACACAAGGTAGCTACACCTTATCATCCTCAAACAAATGGACAGGCAGAGGTTTCTAATAGGGGGTTGAAGAGAATTTTGGAAAAGACTGTGGCCAGCTCAAGGAAAGATTGGGCTTTGAAATTGGATGATACATTGGGGGCTTATAAGACAACATATAAAACTCCAATTAGACTCTCTCCGTTTCAGCTTGTATATGGAAAGGCCTGTCATCTCCAAGTTGAGTTGGAACATAAGGCCTATTGGGCTTTGAAAGCATTAGACTTTGATTTGAAAGCTGCAGGTGAAAAGAGAAAGCTTCAGTTACATGAGCTTGAGGAAATGCGGTTACAGGCCTATGAATCTTCTCGGATCTATTAGAGCAAAGTGAAGTCTTACCATGACAGGAAGATTGTATAGAGAAACTTCCAACCAGGCCAACATGTATTGTTATTCAATTCCAAGTTGAGATTATTCCCTGGAAAGCTTAAGTCCAAATGGTCAGGCCCCTTTTTGATCAAATCAGTCAAGCCTTATGGGGCAGTGGAGTTGGAAGAGCCAAATTCTGGAAGATCTTGGATGGTGAATGGACATAGAGTTAAGCCATACTTGGGTGGTGAGGTTGAGAAACTTACCCCTGTCATTCATCTCAATGATCCATGACTTAATGAAGTGTCAAGCTAATGACAATAAAGAAGCGCTTTCTGGGAGGCAACCCAGCCAATATGTTTTGAACTTGGTTTCAACTATTTAGCATTAGCATATTTAAGTTTCAGTTATGTGTTGAAGTTTTAGTGAGTAAGTTTAGGATCTAATACTTAGGTTAAAAAATTGTTCTTATGTTGGTTCATATTATGCATTTTCCTTTTTGTCTCATGTATGCTTGTTGTAGATAAGTGTAGAAGAAGAATTAAAGGGAATTTTGGGTCAAATTAAGCCATATCAGGTAATAAAATTTCTGCTCCAGGAGTCAAGGGCTCAGCCCCTCATATCAGTTGCCAAAACAGAGTAGCCTCTGGGGGTCAAGGCGCTCACCGCCTCTAAGGGGAAAGAAGTTGTTAGGCCTCCCCCTATGAAGAATTTACCGTATCCACATGCTCCATCAAAGAAAGACAAGGAACGCCAGTTTGCAAGGTTCTTTGATATAATCAAGAGGTTACAGATCAACATACCCTTTACAGAGGCTTTAGAACAGATGCCATCTTATGCAAGATTTATGAAGGAGCATCTGACAAAGAAGAGAAAATTGAGCGAGGATGGAACAGTGGAATTTGAGGCAGGTTGCAATGCTATAATTCAGAAGTCACTTCCACAAAAATCTAGAGACCCAGAGAGTTTCACTTTGCTAGTTACCATTGGCAATCTTTCTGTGGGGAAGGCATTGTTGGACTTAGGCGCTAGTATCAATCTTATGTCTTTATCTATGTTACAGAGGATAGGTGAGGTGGAGGTGAGACCTACCACGATGACTCTGCAGCTGGCTAATAGATCTATAAAGTATCCTCATGGCATTGTTGAAGACCTCTTGGTTAAAGTTGATAAATTTTGGTTCCCAGTTGATTTTGTTGTCATGGACATGGAGGAGGATTCTGAAGTTCCTCTCATTTTGGGACAGCCATTCATGAAGACGGCCAAGGTCATCATTGATGTTGATGATTTGAAAACTCAAGGTTAGAGTGTAGGACGATGAAGTGAATTTTAATGTCTCTGAAGCCATGAAACATCCAAGTGATAGGACAGGTTGCTTTAGAGTGGATGTGATTGATGAGTTATGTATGGAAGCTCAAAGAGAATTCTCAGTACCCACACCATTAGAGAAAGCATTGGTGAACGCAGTCAGTGAAATCAATGATGAGGAAGAAAAAGAAATTCATAAGTGTTTGGAGGAGTTGGACAAAGCAAGGGAGATTTCTCCTAATTCTACAAGTGTGCAAGATTTAAACAAGGAGGAAAAGTCTCAACCTCAAAAGTTAGAACTGAAGCAATTGCCAAGCCATCTCAAATATGTGTTTCTAGAAGCAAATGGTGGCAAACCAATCATAATCATCAGTTCCTTAACAATGGAGGAGGAAAAGAAGTTAATTGAAGTTCTGAAGGAGAATGAAGGAGCTATTGGGTGGACTCTGTCTGATCTAAAAGGTATTAGTCCTTCATATTGTATGCACCGGATCTTGATGGAACAGGATTATAGGCCTGTAGCACAACCTCAAAGGCGCCTCAATCCAACAACGAAGGAAGTGGTTAGAAAAGAGGTGATTAAGTTACTTGACGCTGACATGATTTATCCTATCTCTGACAGTGCATGGGTTAGCCCTGTTCAGGTTGTTCCTAAGAAAGGAGGCATGACAGTGGTGATGAATGACAAGAATGAATTGATTCCTACAAGGACAGACACTGGTTGGCGGATGTGTATTGATTATTAGAAGCTGAACCATGCCACAAGGAAGGATCACTTCCCATTACCCTTCATGGACCAGATGTTAGAGAGGTTGGCGGGTCAAGCCTACTACTGCTTTTTGGATGGTTATTCTGGATACAATCTGATAGCAGTGGACCCGAAGGACCAAGAGAAGACAACATTCACATGTCCTTTTGGTGTTTTTGCATGTAGGAAACTGACATTTGGATTATGTAACACACCAGCCACACTTCAAAGGTGTATGCTAGCATATTCTCTGATGTTGTTGAGAAATGTATAGAGATTTTTATGGATGATTTTTCTGTGTTTGGAGCATCATTTGATACATGTCTGGAGAATCTAAACATTGTACTGAGGCGGTGTGTTAAAACAAATCTGGTTCTTAACTGGGAAAAATGCCATTTTATGGTGACAGAAGGAATGGTGCTTGGCCATAAGATTTCTAGAAGAGGTATTGAGGTGGATCCAGCCAAAGTTGAGGTCATCTCTAAGCTTCCTCCACCAACAAATGTAAAAGGGATCAGAAGCTTCGTGGGACATGCTAGATTCTATAGGCGGTTCATTCAAGATTTTTCAAAGATCGCCAAATCGCTTAGCAACCTCCTTGTGAAAGATGTTAAATTTCACTTTGATGATAATTGCTTGTCTACTTTTTCATTATTAAAACAAAAATTGTGTTCAGCACCTGTAATCACTAGCCCTTATTGGAATTTTGATTTTGAGCTAATGTGTGATGCTAGTGACTATGTAGTAGGTGCTGTTCTGGGTCAAAGGAAAAACAAGATTTTTTATGTCATAGAGTATGCAAGTAAAGTTTTGAATGAAGCTCAAATGAATTATGCAATCACAGAAAAAGAACTACTTGCAATAGTGTATGCACTTAAGAAATTTCGTTCTTATTTGATTGGTTCAAAAATTACTGTGTTCACTGACCATGCAGCTATTAAATATTTGCTAACTAAATCTGATTCCAAACCAAGGTTGATAAGATGGATTTTGCTGTTACAGGAATTTGATTTAGAAATAAAAGACAAGAAGGGCTGTGAAAACCACATTGCAGATCATTTGTCAAGACTAGAAAATGAAGAGGTGACCATACTTGAAAGTGCAATCCATGGGGAATTTCCAGATGAGAAATTATTCTCTGTGCAAGAAAGGCCTTGGTTTGCTGATATGGCAAATTTTAAGGCAGTCAGGGTTATTCCAGAAGATCTCAATTGGCAGCAAAGAAAGAAATTCTTCAAGGATTCTACTTACTATGTGTGCGATGATCCTTATTTATTTAAGATTGGTGCTGATGGTTTGTTAAGAAGATGTGTTTCAGGTGCAGAGGTTAAGGATATCTTGTGGTACTGCCACAATTCACCTTATGAAGGTCACTATAATGGAGATCGTACAGCAACAAAGATTCTTCAGTCCAGATTTTACTGGCCTATTGGTTATTTTTTAACTTTTAACAAAGTTTTTTCGTTCACTGCGTACTCATCTGATTTTGTCATAGTCCACAGCTATGATACTATTTTCTTTCTTTTCTTTTCTTTTTTTCTTCTAATAACTATTAAGCAAAGCAAACATCTAATATAATATAGGCAATCGGTATAAACTTGTAGAAGATTTTTTGTCCTTTTCACTTGTTCAAAAGATGATTGAGTCAAGATGTTTTCGTATGGATTGAAGTGTTGTACATTACAAAAAGTTAAAATGAGTAATCCAAACAACTTTTTAATATATATAGTTACTTTGACAGGATTTTTATGGACTAAAGTATCAATTTTTTTATTTTTTTTACAAGTATTTATCCATTTTTTACGACATCTCAAAACCTTGTCTGAGACGAATTGATAAGACATCAAAACTCGGTTCATATAGGATACTCAAATCAATTCCTACCAACATTCAATCAAATTAACACAATAAATGTGTTAATGTACCAATTTAGTTTAGATTTGGAGTAAATCAAAAGTCAAACTAACTAATTTTAATTAATTTAGTTTGAATTTGATTTATTAAAAAAGTATTTGATATTCAAATCAAACCAATTAGTTTAGTTTGAATTTGATTTATTAAAAAATCATTTGGGATTCAAACCAAACCAATCAACAATAGGTTGATTTGGTTTAGATTAATTAGTTTTTTTTTTTTTTTGAACAACAAATAAAGTAAAATATATATAATATTGGTACAAGGGATACCATGTCCCATGTACAAGATTTTGTGGCTATTAAGAATAGTACACTTTACCCTCTGTAAATTCCTAAATCAAATTAACTGTACCCACCTTAGTCTAGGTAATTTACTAACCTTTGACCCTAAGTATATATATACCATACTTGGAGCACGTGAGGCAAACCACAACAGATATTGTCCAGCAAGTTGATGGTAGTTTTGCCACAACATGCTTCGTAGCAGAAGGTTGTGATCGGCGTGGCACTTCATTTTAATGAATGACATGACAGCTACCATTATCCTTCGGCAATAACAATGAATGTTGGGTCTCTCCATCAGTTACCCAGGACGCCCTCAACACCATCACCAACCCCGCAATCTACCTCACATACATTGCTACAGATTATATCCAATGCCACCATTCCTAAACATCACCATCCGACCTGGCATGTTACTCGTAGGCTCTTTACCCGAGTAAGCAGAGGCCTGTATTCAGCTGCCATTGAGTGAAGGAATAAGAAAAGGAGTTGTTAAAAGCTGACAGCCAAGACCATGAGAACATTAGCACCTGTTGTCCCAGCTTATATTATGACCATCGAATTGACCTTGTTCAAAGACACACTGATTTCTCATTTTCCATGTACACCAACACATTGCAGCCCACCATACCCACCATCTTTCTGTTTGTTCTTTAGAGGATATTATGGAGGGTGGAGCCGAGAAATTAGTAAATGCAGTGTGACACAGGGGTGACAGGCTCCATAATAGCTGCAACCACTGTTTCCACACTCTGTCCACATAGCAGCACGAGAATATGACATGATGAATTGTTTCTAGTGCGTTATTACAAAACGGGCAGCGTTGTTGATCTGCTTGTAATGCAACATTCCTGTTCAATAATTGTTCCTTTGTGGGTAAAGCGTTCAGGAACAGTCTCCATATGAAGATTTTAACTTTTGGTGGGATTTTGATTTTCCACACAACAGATGTGAACCTTATCTGTTGGGTTCCTAGTGCCTGTGTTAATAGAGTGTTATATGCAGACTTTACGGTGAATACCCCAGTCCCGTCAAGCATCCACTCCCATCGATCTGTCCTATTTTCCTTTAGAATTGCAACCTCTAAGATTTCCCTTAGTTCCTTGACATAATCTGATTCCCAGGTGAACCATGGTCTACACCAATCCAATCTCCAATGCCACCTCCCAGTGCTCCATTCCCCCATGTCAGCAACCAGACTATATTGTTGTGTCGAGACCGAGAAAATTCTACTAAATCTCACTACGAATGGCTCATGGGTTGCCCACGGATCAAACCAAAAACTAGTTGTTTGTCCATTCCCAATTTTCCAAGCAACTGCATCCATAAACCAATTATTACCCCTCTCCCCACCTGATGCCACCAATATATCACGCCACCACAACGACATTCTATTATCCACTTAACAATCCTTAATAGCAGCCCTTAAGCCGTATTTGGAAATCATAATTCTTCCCCACAATGAATATGGCTCATGGTATAGTTTCCATCTCCATTTCGCAAGCAAAGCATCATTAAACAAATCCAATCTTTTAATTACCAATCCTCCCTCCTCCTTGGGCATGGTAACTTTGTTCCACGAGACCCACGCCATTTTTGACTCCTCTCTCTTGGCCCCCCACGAGAAATTCCTCTGCAGCTTTGTAAGTTGCTTAATCACCAGTTTCGGCATCCTGTAAAATGACATGAAGTACAACGATAGAGATGTGAGGACAAAATTAATCAAACATACTCTTCCCGCTATGGATAAAGAACTAGCTCTCCAAGTTGATAGCTTCTTTGAAAACTTTCTAATAACAGGCTGCCAAGTAGTACACCTTCTAGGATTTGCCCCTATTGGAATACCCAAGTACTGAAATGGTATGGGTGACAGTTTACAGTGTAGTTGTTCAGCATATGATATCATTACCTCCGTATTCACCCCAACCCCCCTAGGCTACTCTTTGCGAAGTTAACTTTCAATCCACTAACTAGTTCAAAGCACCGAAGAATGACTTTCATAGTTTTAACATTATCCAGATTGGCTTCACCTATGAATATGGTATATCATCAGCATATTGTAGCACATCCACTGGTACCATACGTGAACCTACCACGACTCCAGAGAATAGATTCTTCTTTGTTGCCTCCCTAACCAGCCCGGTCAATTATAGGTTTTATTTTATAAAATATAAAAAAATTATTATATACCAAAATTTAAATAAAAATCTGTCATTAAAAAGTGTAAATAACATTTAAACATAAATAAAAAAGTAAGGTAGGAAATATAAAATTAAAGTAATCAAACACAATATAATATTTAAAATTAAAATATTTTAACATTTAAAATTAAGGTAATCCCTCAAATATAATTAAATTATCTAAGTTATAATCCTTATTTAATTAGTTTTCATGCATTCTAATAAAATCATTATCTGTTACTAATAAAATTATAATAATTTTAATTGAATTTATAAAATGTATATCTCTTATTGAATTAATTAAGATTAAATTTAATTAATTTAGATCAAAGTTGATTCGATTAAAAAAATATTGAATCAGCTTTAATTAATTTAGGTCCGTTCAACAATTTTATGGGATTGTGTAAACCCACAAACAACTCAAATACTTTTTGGAATTGAATGTTACGATTTATAAAATAACTTATGAGTTAACTGGAAGCAGTTGAAAGGTAAAATTTAATTGGTTGGTATTTAAAAGATGTTAGTTGAAAATTGTTATGTTTTCTTATTAAATTTTAAGTATTTGGTGAAATTATTTGTTGAAATAATTGATGAATATAAAATGAGAGAAATGAAACTATTTATATGATATTTTATATAAATTTTAATTTTATTGTGTAGATAAAAAATATATTTTTGGATAAAATCTAATTAATGATAAAATTATTACAAAATGATATTGAGATAAAAATGTTGTTTTATTTATAGTAATATTCTTCATAATAAATGTTACAAAATTACAATAATGCTGTATAGTTACACAGGTTGCCATAAATATGTTGCAAAATTACAATAATGTTGTATAGAAAAAATGATAAAAATGGTGTTCTATTTATAATAACATTTTAATAAATGAAATTAGGTAAATGTTGCTAAACAAAAGTTAAATGTAATAGACACTAAAAACAATAATTACAAGATTTCAAATTTTAAAGAGATGAATAAAAAATAAAAATTCCATAAGGACAAAAACTAAAACTCCTTAATTTATGTGAAATAAAAACATATTTAATTTTTTAAAAATTATTTTGTTAAACTTTTATTTATATTAATTTACTTTTTAAGAATTATAATATTGTGTTTTAATTTAGTTTTCGATGAAAGGTTAAAAGTACATTGTCTTTATCAAACAATAAATTTAAATAAAAACTAATTCAAGAAATGACATATTTTTAGCTATAAGAAAAATATATTTATAACTAACTAGGGTACTTTGTGCCTGTATAAGAATGACCACTGTAATTAAACAAAGTAGATGAATGAGGTAAAAGAAAGAAACTTAAAAAAGAGAAACTTCAAAACAAAAAAAAAAGTAATAGAGAAAAAAGAAACTGAACAAGATGTTTTGAAAAGTGTGGTGCATAGTTAGACAGGTAATAATTCTTTTATATGTATATATATATATATATATATTTTTTTTTTCCCTCGTTGTATCCTTTATGCAATATATTGTTGAAAAGAAATAATGGTATAATTAATTAGACAAAAATATTTAAATAAAATAAGACGAAAGAGGTGTGTCTATTTTAACTATTATTATATATAATTATATGATAACCTCAGTCCACAATGCAAGGATTAAGCTAACCTCAAGAAATATCAGAAAACCTTCTAAGATTGAAAATAAAAATGCGTGTTTTTACCCGAAATTTACATGATTGACATTCAATAATTCCCAAAATTTCTAGAAGATCTCAAGCCTGTAAATTGGTTACAATTACACAGTCTGTTGAAATAACGTATGGAAAATTTGGATAAAATAATGTTTGATTTATATCACTATCAGTGTTAATTAGTTATCTCGCAAAATAAAAATATGATTGCTTAATCATAGGGTGAGATTAATTATAACATTAACTATAACATGGTAAAAGTTATGCATATGGAATGACGGATATAATCATATTGTTAAGTGTACAATATGCACCGACAATGCTTTAATTATAATAATTATTAAATTTTTAAATAATAAAAAATAAAATTAATCATTCTTACAAAAATAAAATTTCAACTCAAAATTTTAAAGTTAAAAATTAAACTCAACATCATTTAATCTAATAAATATTAATAATTTTTAAATAATTTTATTTAATAAAATATAAAAATATACAATATTTTAATTTTATTAATTATTATTATTATTATTTTATAAATTATAATTTTTCTTTTCTAAAGGTAATTTTATTCGAGTTATTAGATAAAATTAATATAAATTTTAAGAACAATCTTATATCATTTGATTCACATGTTTATTAAAATTATAATTACTATATATTACTATTAGGAAAAGAGATGTTTTGTGATTCAAATTTTAAAAAATAACTAAAAAACAATAAAGTTGACAATTATCGAAAGAGTGAGAGGAAGTCATTATGTAAGAAAAGACTTTAAAAAATTTATAATTATTTTTTTAAATAATTAAAAAGTGTAATAATTCAATTGAAAGTGATAACTAAAATTAATTAAAAAAATTCCTTTATACATCGGTATAATAATAATAATAATAATAATACTAATAATAATAATAATAATAATAATAATAAAAGTAGGCATGAAAAGTTTATAAATAAATGTCATGTACAATGAAGCAAGATATTAAAAAAAGACAACACAGTGGTGGATCTCTCTGAGGAGATTGCAGTCAGATTTTTTGAGTTAAGTCAGTACTACTACAGTGGCCACCCCACCTCTCATCTGATGTTATGTAAGACATTAGAGGACCCCACATCAGTAACTTTCAAAGTCATGGCTGCTACTTTGCTTCTCCTCACAAAGAAAATGCAGAAAAAAGGGAACTTGTGAGTACTATTATTCATTCTGGTGTCTCCTCTTTGACTCTGTTACAAAACCAAACACAAAACAACACACCAAAAAGGTTAGAGTACCCATCACTTCATCTTCCACCCAAAACCCTCCTCAAGCAATCCCTATCCCTCTAAGATCCCAACATAGTAGCTACACTTCATGTTCCTCTCAATTCTCTTCTTAAATATAGGATCACTTACATAACCCTCTTCATATATATTCTTACATATCTACTTTTTTCTCCTCTTTCTCTATAATTGTTCTTTTCCCTGAGGGTTTGTGATTTGTGTTCCAATGGAACAGGGTCAATGTTGGACCAAGAGGAAGTACTCTTTGAGCTCTAATCTTACTTCACCAACAAACCCTTCCTATGGAGACTCATGGGAAGAACAAGCTTTTGCAGAAGATGCTGCTAATTCTCTTGGTGGCTGCATATGGCCTCCGAGGTCATACTCTTGTAGCTTTTGCAGAAGAGAGTTCAGATCAGCACAGGCTCTAGGTGGCCACATGAATGTTCACAGAAGGGATAGAGCAAGACTAAAGCAACAACCCTCTAGCCCCCACAATGAAATTCTATGCCATGACCTTGAAACTCAACTCCACAAGCCAGTTCAAAGTCCTTTTGCTTCTTTCGGTGGTTTCCTATACCCTTCTCCAGTTTGTGGATTGGCTCATGAGAAAACTAACCCTAATTCTGATCTTGATTTTGTTGCCTCACCTTCATCATCACCCTCTCCTTCCAAGGCCTTGTTAGCTCCGTCAGTTAATGGTAGCAGCTGCAGAGAGGAAACCATGATTCCACTTTATGATTCCTCTATTCTCCACAAGATTTCTCCAGTCCATAATTCTTCTGAATCATGGCCAAATTTAGCTGAAGATCACAGATTATATTCATGTAAGTTCCACCCTCAAGCTGATACTAAGAAACCCTCCAAGGGAATAATGGATTCTAGGTGTAGGGGTAATAAGAAGGGTAATGATGATAGTGATGGGGCTATGAGCTGGAATTCAGTTGTGTGTAGAACTCACACATCTTCACAGTTTGAGAGTACTGAAGAGGCAGATCATATCATCAGTTGCAAGAAGAGGAAAACAGATGCTTCCTCAACTCTATTTCCCCCAAAGTCAAGCTCTGTTGATAGACATCATATGCAGCCAAAGATGTTTGAACTTAACCCTAGCTCAATGGAAGAGCTAGATCTGGAGTTAAGGCTTGGTAACAGGTCCAAGGTATAGTAAGTAGCATAAATAGAAAACCACCCCACTGTCAATGAATATAATTTCTTCAAATTTCTTCTCTTTATATGTTCATCCTAGTTTGTTTTCACTTGTTTTAATACCTTACAATTAAGGAAGCTTTTCATCATGTTTGAATATTGGATCTCTTGAGGGCCTCATAATATATATCTGCAAGGTGTCATGATAACAATACTGCAATTATATTGACAGGCTTGTAAACTTTCCTCCTAGTAGATAGTGTCGCCAAACGGTGGAATTGTCTTGAATAAAAGCAGATTACATGACTTTGTAATTCATGGTTCCATCGGTTTTTACTACGATCTTATCAAAGCTTTGAATACTACAAATATTAATTCTAGTTTCACCCGACAAAAATAATTTATATTTTCTTGCATTGGTAAATGGTTTGTTTACATTCAAAAGTTAAATAGGGTTTCAATCTATAAGATCCTTATTTTTATCTTGTCAGCCATATAATACAACCGGTTCAATTTCTTCACAGAAGAGTTCTCAATTTCTCTATTTCCATTATGAATGGAGAAAACTATTACAAGCAGGTTCTAATAATGGAACAAAACCACTTCCTTGTAGCGTAGTTCATTATTCTGCATGTGGACAACTTACATGAATACATGAATTTCAAATTCCCATATCTCTGATAGGTTGGTATGGAATCACTGTTTCAGAGTTTGGAGAGAGAGAGAGAGAGAGAATGTACTGTGTGTAAAAACTGTTGAAGTAGTGAATTAGGGCATTATTTGTGTGGGGTTTAAGGGGTGAAGAAGTGCATGGAATAATGTGAGGTAGCTCTTTTTCCCATTCAAGTACCTCACTGACATTCCATCAGACAAAGAACTAAACTAACCCTAAAAAACACACTGATTGAGCTTTTCACAGCCGCATAAAGTCAGATACATCCCAACATTGATTCCCTTTTTATTTGTATTATTCTCATCGCCTCAGATCTGTTGCATTTAGTAGTATCCCTTACACACAAATCCATTTGCTTGCCTTCCCTCTCTCACCTTTCTATCTACCTTTCTTCTAAATCCTTCCAAAATTTGCCACCTACTCCGGAATCACCCCCCTTAAAAAATTGCCTATCATAATATGCTTTTGCATTTTAATAATCGCTAAGAGAATATTATCCCCCTCACGACTCACAGGCGCTAACTACGCAAATTTTTGGTTTCTTCTATGTATGAGAATTTGGTACACAAGTACCCATAAATTTTTTAAGGATATATAATCAAACAAGTTAATGAGCAAGAAATATATTTATGAGTAATACTAGATTCAATCTCATTTTATAAAATTTCATATTCAAATTTTATAAATGAAAAAAATAATATAGTTGGAATGAGAGACCCTAAAAAAATAATCAATCAAATTTTTTTGATTGAAATTAATCATCAACAAAAATGATAAATATTTTGTATCAATATAAAAGAAAACTAAAATTATATTGTTCTAGTTAAATAATGATTGCAGTTTTAATTCTTAAATATGTAGTTACATTAAACATTTGTCTTCCATATTTATTATACCGTATAAAATACATACGTGATCTCTAAAAAAAAATAAAATTGAACGGTACGATTTGTTAAAATTCAATTTTTATTTTTTTGAGATTCAGAATTTGCCAAAAGTAAAAACAATATCTCTTAACATATTTTTTTTTAACACATAATGTCAGAACTGAATAATTCTGATCAGGTTTTTTTAAGTTATCTATCAACTGTGAGGAATATAGTTGTTAATTAATTAGTATTAGTATACGTGACGCATACTTTATGATAAGTCATGAATTATAAAGAATGAAAAGTGAAGTTCATTTCCCCTAAGAACTCTAACCCTAGGTAGTCAAGTTTGTTAGATAAATCGCTGCAGGACACAAGGCGAGCATTCTGGGAACTTCTTTCTGATCGTTGCCTTAAATGGTAATTTGATGGAACACCCTTTTGACTTAAATGAGCATTTGTACCTAGCATGGTCATTCAGATGTAGCTTTCACACAAACATAAATACATAGTGAAAAACTTAGGCCACACCCAACATTTCAATTCCCTCGTAGGCTAAAGAATGGAGATCGCCTTAATGATTTGAAAGGAGGGGGTATGATATTTCCTATCATCGATTTTAAGTGTTCAATTTTCTCACAATAACTTAAGTACAGTTCTATAGATATGGTTAATGTTATTTTTTTTATTAAAATTAGTTATTTTTAATAATATGTATTTACATATCTCAGTATATATATTAGTGAGATAAAATTATGATTCTAATTTGAAAATATTGTGAATCGTACATATGAAACTGAAACTAATTTTGCATGTGATTGGGAAGGAAAGAGAATAATTAATATATGTAAGGTAAACGAGGTCCTATATGAGTGTAAGAGTGAGGGTCTTAAAGGCAGTTGGTGGGCTTTGTCTTCTTTTGGAGTTGTGAGATGGGTAGGTCTGATATAAGCAGAGAGTAATCAGTGAAGTTTTGGGTTGCAGTGGCAGAAAAGCACATGGGCATAAAATGTCGTTTCTCTATTCACTTGAAGGGTTACATAGAATAGGATTATAGAGTGAGTCAGTGAATTAAGGAGGTGATCAAGCTAGCTAGGGATTATTATTCTCCCCTGTTGAGCAATGTTTTTGTGTTAATTTAATGGGAAATCACTATTTTAGAGAATCAAAGTATATTTGAGAGAGAAATTCCAGTGCATTGGGGGTTGGTATTGTCTGGGATTTTTGTTCTTTATAATTGCTATGACAACTAAGGTCTAGGAGAGTATATTTGCATGGGGGCAAGTTCCTTTGATCACGAGCTCACTTACATTCCTTAATTATAAGTTAGAATATCTGTTCTCTCTTTCTCACTCTCTCATACGTGGCAGCTTTAAATATATACTTGTATTTCTCATGTGAGCAATATAAGCAGATAATTATATATAACTAATTTTGATTTACATTATATTATCATCATATGGTCCAATAATTAGGATGTTTAATTATTCGTAACTAAAAGTGAATGAAATTGTCAATAGTCACATAATTATTTTAATATTGTGCCGTTTCTTACTTATGAATCATACAAAATTTCGCATTAGTTAATGATAAATCAAAATTTTGGATAATGTATATTTTTTCAAATGGACCATTAATTTTCAAAGATAATTTGTTTATATATATTAATACAATTTTGTGGATTAATCCTCTTATTTGTGAGTCTATTACATCTATTTGTCATTTTTTGAAAAAACTATCGATATTTTGGAGTCAAGTACTCGCTCATTAAATACTTCTTATGCTAACATTCCATTAAAAAGTATATAGAGGTCGGATTATTTAATATGATTATTTTTAAATGATTGGGAGTTTTATATTAATTTTTGAAATTTTGCTACGAGATTTTTATTATTATTATTATTATTATTATTATTATTATTATTATTATTATTATATATATATATATATATAAGAGAATCAAAGTATATTTGAGAGAGAAATTCCAGTGCATTGGGGGTTGGTATTGTCTGGGATTTTTGTTCTTTATAATTGCTATGACAACTAAGGTCTAGGAGAGTATATTTGCATGGGGGCAAGTTCCTTTGATCACGAGCTCACTTACATTCCTTAATTATAAGTTAGAATATCTGTTCTCTCTTTCTCACTCTCTCATACGTGGCAGCTTTAAATATATACTTGTATTTCTCATGTGAGCAATATAAGCAGATAATTATATATAACTAATTTTGATTTACATTATATTATCATCATATGGTCCAATAATTAGGATGTTTAATTATTCGTAACTAAAAGTGAATGAAATTGTCAATAGTCACATAATTATTTTAATATTGTGCCGTTTCTTACTTATGAATCATACAAAATTTCGCATTAGTTAATGATAAATCAAAATTTTGGATAATGTATATTTTTTCAAATGGACCATTAATTTTCAAAGATAATTTGTTTATATATATTAATACAATTTTGTGGATTAATCCTCTTATTTGTGAGTCTATTACATCTATTTGTCATTTTTTGAAAAAACTATCGATATTTTGGAGTCAAGTACTCGCTCATTAAATACTTCTTATGCTAACATTCCATTAAAAAGTATATAGAGGTCGGATTATTTAATATGATTATTTTTAAATGATTGGGAGTTTTATATTAATTTTTGAAATTTTGCTACGAGATTTTTATTATTATTATTATTATTATTATTATTATTATTATTATTATTATTATATATATATATATATATAGAAATTTTTTTGGAATTTCCTTTTTAATAAACAACAAAATATTCTTTTTTACAACTTTATGGATGACAGTTGTATGAGTGCAGTGCAGTCTTAACAGTGGTAAAAAGTTAAAAGACCACCATATTGAGGATGAATGATATGAGCAAGGAGTATTCTATAATTTTTTTAAAATATTTATATAAAAAATATATTGTTTATAATGAAGTATTCCAAAATTTAAATAAAAGTTAAATATTATGTGTTTTTATAATTTTACCTATATTGCTTATATGAAGCTATTTAATTTTTTTTACATATTAGTTTAATCACGGTGTTATGTCTATATTACTGTTATGAAAGACGAATTATAATTATTTGAAAGTAATGTTATAAGGTTGATACATATATAAAGAATTCAAAAGGTGATTCCTTTTTAATTTATTTATTATAAATTTAAATAATATTTTTATGCTTTAATTCAAATGGTGAATGTTGAGAAAACTATATTTTCTTTAATTTAACACCATTTTTTTTTATATTAGGTTAACAATAAAGAAATTTTTTTTTCACAATATAATATCTTTTTAACCACTTTTATCTTTAATTAGTTTTTTTCAATTTCTTTGAAGTACAAATTCAATTGTATGTACCTTTTATTCATTTTTTGCATCTAGCTTTCATGCTTTAAAAATTTTAAACAATGACAAATGAAGAAGTATTATAAAGCCAAACTAAGTTTTTAAAATAATGTTTTTCCTTTTTTAATAAAAGTGTTGAATCTAGAGGCTCTTGATACCATGTTTGATTTAGAGAGAAGATGAGAAAATGAATTTCATTGATTCAGAAAAAATATGATTACACACTAGAAAGATAACAGAACAATATATTTATAGGAAGAGTTAGAGGTAAACTAACTCTAACCTATAATTACAGGTAAACTAACTAATTTTTTATAACAGTAATGAGATTCTTTCATCTTTTACCCTTAACAAAGAGTTAGGTATGGATTGTATCATTATAGAACCTTAACATTCTAACAACGTTGACACCTCAAGGCCTACCAATTATTTACGACATGTCAAGAAATAATATATAATAGAAAAAAGAGAT